TATTGACCGTTTGCAAACACTATCAGCAGAAATTTTAGCGGATTAAAATTGGGCGTTGGCTGATGAAATAAAGGCTTTGGAAAAAAAGGGTGGTTACATCATAATTGCAACAGGGCATGAGTATGACTAAACTCGGAGACAGCAGCTATTGAGTTCGTCGAGCTTATTTTTCAGATTCGTAATGATTTAACTTAACAAACTTGTTATTCAAATTTGTAAACTCAAATACCTCATTTCAGGACCTCATAACACTCTGGGAACAAGTCTATCACCGCATTCTACCTCTTCTTCAAAGCGTACTGTATCCATTACAGGTAGTTAAATTCATTTCTCCGAGTTTTCATGGTTATCTAGCCCGATTTTTTGCAGCGCAAGCGACCAGAATTCGATATTCGTCGAATAATTCTTACCATCTTTCGAGATAGGGTACTCAGTAAGGTAAACTTTGACCCAGCACCTTTCGATTTCTAAGAAGATTCAAACTAAGGAATCTTGAGTCAAATACTTTAGGTACTCCGAGATGTTAATGAGCGAATTCCTCTATTGGAACCTATGCTTTATACTATACTCCTGGAAACCGAAAACTCGTCCAACGAGTCAAAGAATTTTGCTGTTTTAGCCAATCGCGTAATGGGCATGAAAACGGTAAGTCATTCGAATTCCCAGACCTCGTGTATAAATTATTCGTTAATTTTTAGGATCGACCTGCCCAAACAGTAGAACGAGTCCGATCCCGGACGTTGCCGAATAAGCCCTCAAAAAAGGTGACATGGGGTGACATGAGGAAATCAGCAACGTTCAGCATGTAGTTTCTTGAAAGTGAGTATGAAACGATAACTCGTCCATAATGACGGGTACTCCTTGTTGCCATTGTACCTCTCGTTCTCTACTCGTGTGGCGTACATCAATCTCAGCTGCGCCCGGTGCAATACAGGTGTTTCGTGTATATGTATACTTAACTTTATTATTTTTGTATATCACGATTTTAAGCATGAAGTTCATTCAAAAGTTTGTATGCACAGTGAGACCATGGATAATCAGCAAACAGGACAACAACACATACAATATTTACGCAATACAGAGAGAACCGCGGGCGAAATTGCAGGCATATGTGCAGAACCAAACGTAGGGCATGCATTTGCCCAGACAATTGCGATAAAGCTGTTAGTAAAGCATCTTAAAGTGGTGGAGGTAGGATTCAAAGGCAAAAATGTTTTTCTATTCGTCGTTGACAAGGTTCGCATTCAACTCGACAGCAGTAATGAAACTTGCAATTGCATTGGTCTGCTTCGATAAAAATACGACGTTCGAAACCACGATTGCAGCACAACTAAAAGCAAATAAATAAATGAGTGTTGGTCGATCAAAATGTACAAAAGGCATACCAGTTGACAACCGTCAACTCCCTGTGAAGTCACATTGCACTCTCTTCCTTTTGTGCCAAGGATCCCTCGTGCTGGATCAGGGTCACAAAAATCTGGCGATGGGCTCATGTAAATCTGCAAAAGTCACGTTGATGCACATTTATATATATGCAGAACTTTACTGCACTTAACGTTTCTTTCCAAAATTTTCATCTGTTCTCGCAGATAAATGAAGATATTCTATCAAGACAAGAATATGAAGAAATGGTGCAAAATACTGCAATATGGAATATAGGTCACTCAATCCTCTGGGCTCTTCATAAAATCAAAAAAAAAAACTGCTTTTCTAGAGAAGGTAAATCACAATCGCAAAAGACTTTCTACCATATAAGAGTTTTATCTCTTTTCAGACCTATTGTACAGAATGATTTAGAGGATTAGAGCATATTCAGTAATGTAAACACTTTTAGGACATTTCACATGTATTCAAAGTTTAATAGAAACACTTTCTTCGCAATATTCCTGTTTTTACCCGATTTGACCTATTTTTACGTAGCCTGAAACAAGTGGAAAAACTAAATCTTCTATCCAAATTAGCTTTTTCCCAAGAGGAGTTTGCAGTAAAAATGTGGGCTGAGCACAACAACATTGAAAAAGAGAACACGTTGGTAGTTTTTTAACGCTTTCTGACGATGCAATAACGTCAAATCAAAAGACCTTCATCAAATACGAAATGCGATATCAAACACGGCATAATTAAAAGTGACATAACGTCATTTAGTTTTTTCTGCAGTCACGTTGACGAAACATAGCTATGACGATAGAGGTTCCCACTCACTATGGAAAAAAAAAATCATAGTCACGTTCTGATAATGATTTTTTTTTGCTTCACCTAAAGTTCCGTGAGTAAGGGAAGTCAATGAAAAGGACACGCGAAAGACCGAATTTTTTCAATTCTTTTCATGTCGGTTTTGCTTAAGCTCTAGCTCTCGCTTATCTCTTTATTTACTCTCTTCTTCGCAGTGCACTAAGTCAAATGCGGAAACTTATACATAAAATCTTGACAGTAGAAATGAACTTAGTGATTTTGTTGAGGGACAGCCTACCTAATAGATAGTTATAAAATTTCCAACTCTTGTCCAAACGACTCTTATTTTCGCATTACAATTTAGCGAATAGTTCTCCGCGAAGAAAGAAACACAGGTTTATACGCTCTGTTGTATTATGTGCTGTGATTAGGCCTATTTAAAGGATTATAATTTGTTTGGACTATAGCCTATTGCCAGGATCAGCGCATAGTTCCAGCACGGGATAGGTTATTGCGAGGATTATTTAATAGCTTAGCTTTAACTAAAAACTTATAACATATCCACCAGCTCCACTATAATCTACTATTCTAACATACAACTAACGCTATTTAACGCAAGTCATCGTTCAATGACATCCGTTAGCAGTGTAATGACCTAATAGTCCACGTTAGTAAGGGTTAGGTAACCCGATAAGAACTTTAGTAGGTGAAAATATTGCACTGGCTAATTTCCTGCCAAAAGTCAGCAAAGCATTTTTTAATACGGTGAAATTACCAAATTTGTGAATGATCATATCTCACCAGATCGGCATTGGTGTGCCTTTTGAATTGTGA